TTAGGAAAAATATTGTAGTACACGAGGACGGACAACTTCGAGCTAAGAAAGACATATACTCAAATAAAAAGTCTAAGAAAGTTTAATAAAATACGTTTCGGTCCGAGACCTTCATCAGTTGTAATACAATGACTTACAAATTCCTTAAATAGATTTATATAGGGCGTGATGACACATATAAACAAACACAGTAATTACTACGCGAAAAATTATCACAATAAAAAGAAATGGAAAAATTGTCGAATCCACTGAAAATGTTAAGGAACCAGCGTTGACTTGAAAGGCGAGAATTGTACTAAAATTCCCAATCAACGCTGAGACTGGGACCTTTGATGCCCGCCCAATTTGAAAAAATTCTCCGCATTAATTATAGTTTATTCTTTTTTTGGAGTGAAATTCCTGGCGCTTATTCAAGCCGAAGGGTGCCAGAGAGAACAACTGTGCGCTCCAATATGCTTCTTTGGTAATTAGAAATTTCTCGACAGTAAACAATTCAGGTAACATCTTTGTTGTCGTAGTATGAGATGCAGAGCTCAAAAGCTTCGAAAATTCCTTTCAATTTGTCTGTTCGCAAAATTTTTTTTATGATGGTTTGAGGTGATCATTAATCCGTGGGAATGAGATAAAATGACAGTAGACACCTCGAAAGGTACAAAATTTGGCCTTTTGTTTCCAATTCATGAGTTCGTGCAGAAGTCCTTAATATGTTTTTACACCTTCCGTTCCATTTCGTTTCATAGCTGCATACATGAATGTTTTGTACTCGACTCTCTTGATTTGTCCCCCCTTCCTTTTCCTTTTGACATTTTTCCAGCTTACAAGAAATTAATTTGGAGTTCGAAATTCTGAAAGGATCCGTCAACTCCATGTCCTCGAAGCCTTTTTCTTGGGACACAAAACACTATGAGAGAGATTATTAACTTCAGGCTTACTAATTTGCATTCTGCTAAATTTAAAATGACGACTGTTAGTTAGATTATGTAATGTAACCCTTAAAAGTTACATCAATCCTCCACTTCGCCTCGACTTTGCATGACTTTCTCAAATTCCCCAATCCACCAATGTTAAGATAGGGCCATGTTTGCACGAGTCTAACCCTCTGGTTGCGATATTTATCAAGAGAGGGCCCCTCGGGGTGAGTGTTAAAAATAGTGAGCGTGGGCTCAAAGCAGCAGTTACTTGCCTCTCCACGATTGCAAACTGCGTGTTTTGGTCCGTGCTCAGATTCTCACCATTTGACACAGTTATTCAGCGGAGTGAGTACCAATCTCATTTTCGATAGCCTAATCCTAAATTTCTGTACCTAGACATTTCGCTTCTAAAGGGCATTTCTTATTAATTGCCTATTTAAGATGGAGAGAAGTGACAAACGTAAATTTGCCTTCGTTTGAAGATTTATCTTCCCGGTTGAAAATCGTTCAAACATCGCGTTGGTGTTGTGCGAAGTTTGACCTCCTAATGCTACTCGCTTTGAACACCACAACTTTTTCTTTTTTTTCTCGAAACATGTGTTATGAAACGTTTTGATTTAACTCGCACGGAACTAGTTATATATGCAAACTAGTTTTCTTGCGGTAAGAACATTTGTACCACTTTTGTATTGTCGGAGAGGGGGATTTATCATACGTCCATTCTTCGATAATAGGTCTTATTCACGCTTGTATTTCGCCATTGATTTACATCGAGAGAAAGCCTCAAATTCCGAGGATTTTAAGTGAACTGAAAGGGCAGTTGCCATTCGAATAAGGTCAAATAAAATAAGGCAAAGCCACGGCTTACACATTGTGTGATAATGGTCAAGGTCTAAGAAGTGCCAAAGCAGGATTTACAAAAACAATAACATTTTGAGTGAATATATTAAGGTTCGTATAGGTGCTGAGTGCATGAGTTTTTAATTCCATCGGTCTCTCTGTTAGTTCACATATCTAATTCATTTTTTTCAATTTATTTGGAATTTTTTTCCTTGCCTTGTAGTCTTTAGTTAACATAAGTTTGCTCAGAACTGATACACTAAAAAGTGTTATAATCGCCTCAGGTGAAAGGCCTTTGTGATATTGGACTGAACTCGCAGCGCCAAAATAACGGAAAGATGTTTTGAAACCCAATTTGTAGTTCTTCAAGACTTTTTCAGACCTGAATAGACACATAAATGCGAAATTGTCGAATCTGGAATAAATACGTGTTTGAATAAAGCCTCGCTAGCGATTTCGCAATGTAGTTTATCGACAATAGCGGCTGTTGCTTTTGGTAACCTCGAATGGCTAATAAAGCTTATAGGTCACATAGCTGCTTTTTGAATAATTCCCGACACGTAGTCCATGGGATTATTCAACGATATTCACCGAGCCAGAGGCGAACAATTGTTTCAGCAGAATTACTGAGATGGTCATCAGGGCAAAAAAAAAAAATAAATTAAAAAAAATTATATATTTTTATTTATTTACTTATTTAATTGCTTTTATTTTTTCCAAATTGTCACGCACCAAAGAACGCAGAACCGAAGCCCGGTGCTTACTTATACTTACCTACTTACGCACCCCACCCTCACGCATACTTAGTTTTCCTCATCTTATGTTATCTTGATTCCTTTACAGGGTTCATATCAAAGTCAGCATGCCTTGTAAGTTTGTTCTATCTAAGCTCTTTTGATAAATTCGCGCATTTTATTTCATTTTTACAAAAGTAGGGTCGTCCTTTCTTACTATGGTAGGAATGTGTAGTTTTGGTATATTATTTTCAGGGCGTAATCTTGGATATGAAGTCTACAAAAAAGAAAAGGGAGAGGAAATGTTCAAAAAGAAGATTGAGGAATTCGAAAAGGTACATGTGCAATGTATTTTTAGCCAGATGTGCTTGACTTTCACCATTGCTGGTGAATAACCTGGTTTCCATAACATGAAAATAACGGAAGGATTGTGTTATTCCGACGGAAACTGTTCCATCTCATTAACAATCCTTATGTTTCCATAGTCACCGTGAAATTTCTCGGTCCAGATACTTGATTTCGAGGAATCTGTTCAACTAGCTCATCTCCTTTTTTGTTTGTCCCTCCCTTGCATACGCGTGTCAGCAGTTATAGCGAACTGAGTGCTTTGTTGTGTTGTTTCTTTGGATAGCCTGTTGCTCCGCCTGGTTTTTTCTCCCAAAGCAAAATCGCATATGACACCACCAAACTCAAGCTACTCTTCGGCACGAAGGTGTTAATCAAGGGACAGCGGGGCACACATCCCGTTGGAGTTGGAGCTGAGGGGATCGCAACGATTGTCTCTAATCCAAAGATTCCACCGTGCGAGTTTTTCACGCCAGGACGTTCCTATCCAGTTTGCCTTCGTCACTCGACCATACAATCCGTGGATGACGTGTTGATTGACTTCTGTGGCGGGTCGATAAGATTTTCCGGAAGTGATGATATGGAAAGTCCTTTCGATCTTCTTATGGGCACTGGAGAGACAACACCGTTATGGAGCGCTCAGGCCATTTTTGACGCAGTGAAAGCCAAGATTTCAAACGATTTGAAAACTTATTTGCTGATCGGACCTGACCAGTAAGTGAATTGTTAGGCCATTTCAATACTTATTGTTAGATGGAGTGCAAGTGGTTTCACCTTATTCATTTATGTATTTGCATCATTACATATGCATTTACTGCGACGTTCCTTAAGGCCGAAAAGGAACCCTGTATGATTTTCTTCGCTTGTTATATTCGGCTTCGTTGCCGAGCTAGCAGAAGCGCCCAATTGGCATCTGTGAGGCACCAGTCAAGCCGTGTTGAGACTTGAATCCTATTTTGCCGGTTTTTTTTTTGTTTTTTTTTTTTTGGTGTTTTCCTTTTTTTTTTCTTTTTTTTTGAGCTTTAAAGAATAATTAGTCAAGCAATTGTAAATCTCTTGCATCGATGCAATCACTTGCATTTAATTTTAGTGTTGTTTTCAACTAACTTCGGTAAAAGCAAAACAAAAATGATCACGATGAGGAATCGACTAAAAAACATGCAAACTGTGTTACTGGCACGGAAAACGCAGGCGACCAAGTTGCGAGTGGTTGTCGTTTAGGGTCTAATTTTGTTAAGTTAAGAGGATAACGCGAGTTTTTTTTTTTTTCTTGACTATCACACACCGAAGTAAAGCAAAACCAAAGAAATCTAGGATTACTTTTGATTCTCGATTGAAAATTATTCTTTATATGAGGATACTTTTGTCACATTCAAAGAAACAATAAAATTCCGCGCACCTTACACGTTGAATTAGACTTGATTACTGTCACGCAAAAGTATGAAATCTAAATAAATCATACGCGATCTATTGTTTAGAGTGCTAAAAAATCGTTACTAAAAAATACAGCAACTCGTAATTTTTTTTAATTCATTCTAGAATTATGAGATCGTTATATTTTTTTATTTTTATATTTTAAACAGTCTTAAAGCCAACATTGGGGGCTTGCGCCAGAAGCCTGAATCGTTTTACGACCAGCGGTATTACTCAGAAGTGATTTTTGACTTCAAAGCGTTTGATGGTGTGAAGCGTTACGTTAGATTCAGGATGATGCCCGCTGATGGACGACCAGAAACAGGCTTATTGTCCGAGGAAGTTCAGCAGCGCCCATGGTGAGGAGTAGAAACATCTGACAATCCGAGCCTCCTTATCTACGAACCCTATTTTGATAACATATCTTGAAGCACAACCTTCATTTGTAACTCCTTGAGCTTCCGTCTGTATTTCCTGCCACGTTAAACCGTAGGGAAAGGATCGCGATCGTTTGAATCGAAGCGGGCTTTACCTACTTTAAAGTACTGCTTATTTTGTGGGCGTAGATGGAGACGAGAAAGCATTAGAGCAGTGTATTTTAGGATGGTCATTGTAAGCAGAGCCATTGACAGTTTCGTTTATCGGATCTATTTTCGCCTTCTTACTTTGAATTTAAAGTGATACCAACTGATAACTGCAGATATCTCATAACCACACGTATTGAGAATTCGATATTAGCTTGTTACTTTTTTTATTCACGTTCTTCTGTCGTATTTAAAATGAAGGTTAACGGGGAGATTACCTGATGAGACGAAGTGACGACTAGTTCAGTGAGAAAATTTCCCTTTATATCACTACAAGCAAAACTGAACAAGACTCCAGCTTGTCCTTCTCCAATCAATATTTAGTAAAACTGAATTTTATTTCGGTCAAAAAGATTCCATTCCGTGTATTTCCTGAAAATGTGGGAAACTAGACTAAAAACAGACTGTAAATTTTCCAGCTCCGAATGAACAAACTCTATTAAAAAAAAATTATATCGGATACTTTATTTGCTTACAGGATAAATGAAAGGTCACCCGATGAGACGTTACCAATGGACTACCTCAAGCGTGAGTACAGAGAGAGGATTTCCAAGGGACCACTCGACTATAAACTACAGCTGCAACTCCACGAACCTAAGGACGATGATGTGCCATGGATACTTCATGTCGGGAGAGCATGGGACGAGCAAACGCACCCATGGTTGGATTTGGCTGACATCAAAGTGACGTCATTACTGTCTCCAACCGCAACGGAACGCCTGAAGTTTATTTTTTTAAACCTTCCAACGTCAATTGGTCTTTTGCCAGCCGTATCTGTTGATGACCCTAATGTTGTTCTTCACATTCGTAATGAGGTGTACGTCTGGTCTCAGAAGCTTCGTAAAAACAGATCAAACAAGCTTGTCCCAGAGCACCTCGCGTCCTATTTTATCCGTGTGGAAACTGGATCTCAGTCTGGAGCAGGAACGGACGCCTCTATTTCTATTTCGTTGACAGGTGAAGTCACGTATGATATGTGTGAATTTTTTATTTTTTTTCTTCTTTACACGCCAACAAGTCATTCATATTCTTTCGTTTTCTTCTTTTCCTCTGCAGGTACCAAAGGAAAAACAGATCTCATCAAGTTAGATAACTGGGGCAATGACTTCGAGAGAGGAGACGTTGATGAGTATATGGTAGAAGCAATGGACGTTGGAAAAGTTCTAATGGTTCACCTTCACAATGATCATGGTGGCTGGTGGTACAAAAATCCTGATTGGTTGGTCAACAAAATCTCGGTGATAAGTTCCACTCAGGATGAACCATTTGAGTTTCCATGTTATCGCTGGGTGCTATCTGATTTGGTGGTATTTGAAGGAAAAGGTAATCCGAAAGCTATGTCATATCTCGACTACAAAATTCAAAACTAAAGAAAATAAGGAATGTATCCATGTCGTCGAGCTATAACATGCAGAAAGAAGCAATTAATTCTCCACAATTCTTCAAGGAGCTAAATGAATGGTTCGTTGTGGGCCATGGAGAAGACTCGAACTTTCATTTTGTAGAAACATACATACATACATATATATATATATACATACATATATATATATATAATAATAATAATAATGATCAATGGTAGCAAAACTTCAGTTCATCGTTTTAATGCGACAACGCTGTTTCGTATGGTCAGAGAATGACCACACTCATCAGGCAATATCAATGAGTGTAGTCCTTCGCTGACCATAC